AAGGCAGTGCTGGATGTGAGAGTTCATGTGAGTTCATTCAAATTAACATACCGAAAAAAATACATGGTAATTATTTAAAAAAATTATTTAAATCAAGAGACATAAGTTTTCTTTTTAACTGTTTAAAATTCATGAAACGTAGGTTTCAAAGTATTCATATACTTATTTTATGTTTCATATAAAAATGAGTGAATATAAAATATGGTACAGATTGACAAAAGGTAGTTCTCAATTCAGGTAATATTATATTAATGTCTTTAATAAACGGCGTGTTATAATTATGAGTCGGTGAATTAATTGTATTAATATACTTAAAAACAACAGCAAAGCCATGCATTGTATGAAGAGACTTAATGTTTGAAATTGTACATTCATATTTCATTACATAAAAAAGTTGTTGGGAAGCGACTAGGCAGTAGTTAGTAGGTATTGTTTATGTATTTTACCAGAAAATTAATTAATTTTTATTAATTGATGTAATTTTTTAATATGAGAATTATAAATTCTAAGCTTTACCTCAAATAGCTATTCCATAGAATACTATTGATTGCACCAGAGATTCATATACTATTGTAGAAATGTAGACATTTCTTCATGCAACTCAATATTGGAATTGTGAATCAACAATAACAATATAGCTTTAAATTTTTAAATTGTTGTATGAATAATATTATGGCTAAATTATGTGTTGTAGGACGTAGGTACATATAAATCAGTATTTTTTCATTTTTCTCTCGTTTTTCAATCGATTAAACATCACCGGATTATGTTTATGTTTGTAAACATGATCGATGGTTCTTTCAAATAGAATGTATTTATTAATACAAAATGTATTCAGATCGTTTAACCTCGCATTAGGCTATTAAATAAATATTATAATATTACACGTTCGGTCATATATTATTATGTTTTGGCATTTTAATAATTGTATGCGTTCGTATATTTTTATAGTGATTGTACAATATAATTAGATATCAGATACTAAATGATTAATAAGAACAGGTAGCCACTGTCAGAACTGGTATAATTGTAGGTATCTATACGCTGTATAGCAGTGGTTGCCAACCTTTTTAGTTATGAGGACCTCCAATTATGTAAAAAAAAAAACTTTAAAACCCACTCATTTAAAATACAGCCATACAGGTGTACAATATAAACACACCCAAATAAGAAGATAGAAGAAATATAGACATGTATAAATTCATATAAAAAGCTTGATGTTGATATACAAGTTAAAATTTACTTACCCTTGCGGGCTTAGATTCTCGAACAAGGTCTGAGGCCTAATACCACATTGTCCATGAGTTGGGAACCGCTGCTGTATAGTATTATTGATGATATTATCATAGTTTTTGCCAATTAATTATTAAATCACATATTTGTAGGATACAATGTAAATACAAATAATATATAGTATTACTATAATATAGTCACATGTCCTGGTATAGTGGTATCTTGTTTTTAGCTGTATTCATAAACATTCTAAACGTTGAACGCGGTGGTTATAGGTTAGGTATACACCATGACTGTACTGTATGTCATCGTATGTGACATATGTCACAACGAAAACGAGATATTATTATTATAATATTGGGTAGGTATAGGAAAACGTTTTGTAATCCGTACCTACCTATACATAAAGGTTTAACGTATACATTACAAAAAATGGCAAACAATAATAATGCATAGTAGGAAAGTACTATATAACTATTTATTATATATTTAAATATTACTAAGCTATATCATTATCATGATGCGATACAAACGATTATCGTTATGTTTATCGCATATATATATTGTACATATAATATTGTCATAGCTATACAGTCTCTGCCACACGAAGATACCGACGAATATGATATCATAGTCATATAGTATATAGTGTGAATGTGAGATGCCCAAATTATTCCCATCATCGTATTCCTCTAAAGTAGTATTCATTTAACCTGTACAAGGTACATACATACTATGCATACACCAATGCACTGTACAGTGTACATAGCCAGATAGGTAGGCCACTTAATGCTAAAATATCGCTCGAAACGTAAACGACTCGAAATCTCTCAAAACTTGAGTGTTTCTTATTATACCACCGACATTAAACGATTAACTCGAGAGAGAGAGTATAAGAAATTAGTGGTCTCGTAAAAAAATTACTACCTACCTTGAAAAATAATCGTAAACCTTTATGCATAACGTGGTTCTATATACGACACTAATCTGTTTTTGGTAATCTTGAACGCGTGTTAGAGAAATGTATAATATTGTTCATTTATATACTTTTAACGTACACTTAAATCTATTATACATAGGTGAATAAATTATAGAACTATATACCGCAGATTAATTACATTTTTTTATAATATTTGTTTTTCAATAGAACTGCTATTTTCTTAGCAAATCACATTTTTTCTAGTGTTATAATAGACATAGTAATTGTATTTCAACCATGTATTATACAATATGTTTTAAAGGTAAAAACCACAAAAAACGTCTGAAAAAATGAGTCTTATGTTTAAATAAATTGGCCTGCGTATTTGTATATTATAAGTTATAACTATTGTGTAATATGATTATTATTTTTATAACGGTTTCACGAGGGTAAATTGATCGTCGCCGAGCGAAGGGCGTTTTAACAACGTACGTGACATATAATAACACACTACCTTTCCTATCCTTCAACTGCTGTCGCACACATACAATATATCATTCTAAATGGCATAATAATACATTTATTAAAAATAATATGGTTTAATTATAATTTATAGCGTGTTAAACAATATAATATTAACGTATACCTATATATGTACAATATTTACGACGGTTATTCGTTATTAAATCGAAGGATTTATTACCATAGATCGGTTCAATCTCAAAATATTTCAATTTCTGTGATTTAACTCGGCCTATTTGAGTGATGGTAGGATGGGGTGTTTGAGTGAGAGATTGCTACGGAGAGTATAACTTCCTGGATATACATCATGGATTTTACTTCGTACATATTGTAATTTAAAGTTTATGGATTCGTCTACATATAGGCACCACAGGCGTTTACAAAATAGCAACCTTTAGGAGTAAAGGATTTTTAAACGCTATTTTACTCGTAAACGTTCGACACAAAGCCGACTATGATCCCTACTCAAAGGGCCAAATATTTAAAAAAAAAAAAAAAGAAAGTAAAATCAAGTTAAAAAATACAATTTTGTTGACATAATAATTTCTCAGTGTGAGATTTTTAAGTTGCGTAATGTCAGGCACTGTTAAATTATTATAATAATGAGATGATTACATTCGAAATTAATTAAAATTACAAGAAAAAGAAACCCGTTAAATTTCGTTGTACAAAACTAATTAAAATTAAATAAATTTGTATACCAATAATATTGACTAGGGAAAGGTTAATAATACTTTGTATTATAAGGTATACCCATGTCCAAATGATAACGAAACAATAAAAATAAAATTGGACTTATAAATTCATAATTAGTTCTGATGACAAATGAGTTACTTTTCAAGTCTGGTTTTTTGTTTGTACTTAACCGGAGATGGAGAATACGCGAGTATTAAATTAGATAATAATTTATACATTACGGGGACACACCAGGTACATGGAAAAAAAATCATGATAAATTAATGACACTATCTATATACAGTACTGTAATAATCGTACTTAAAACAAAAATTATTTTTAAAGAATACGGAAATCTTGTGAGAATAATTTTAATCTGGTAGTCGTCTTTTTTATAACGTTGGAGATTTTCAGTCAACAAAGCAGTTGTATATTCCAAAATAATGTTGATGCAATGTTTAAATCTGTTTTGTAATATACGTTATTTCGTATTATGTATCTGTCAGTTGATTACACGCGTTCTCACGGAAATTAATGTTATTCGTTCAGCCGAATAATATGAGAACATATTTTATATTCAACCCTAACAATAAGCGGTACATTTCCGCATGGTCCTTTGAATTTGTTATTTAAAATCTGACTTCTTAATGGAGCATATTCAGTACCTATTATATGTATACATAGGAACCCATTTCAACCCTCTGAGGAGTGAATTAAGAATACACAGGCGTTACTCAGGGAGACGATTATAGAAATCGAAAATCGAAAAAAAATCATTCGTTTCGGTCGTAAATGAAGTAGGTATATTTACGTCTTTCTTTTATCACCGTATTTTTTTGGGATGACTTATAAATACGTTCTAAATAAGTGTGTATAGTAAACTTTATATTAATATACGTTGGTTTGTAATGTAAAACCCTATAAAATGAAAAATAACATTGGCAGTGAAACGTATAATGTACATAATATACGTCATTGCTCTTTTAGGTACAACTTTTGTAAAACATATACCTATATACGTCAATGGTCGTCAAAAGGTTTTAGAAAAAAAACAAATTACAAAATACACTCATGAATATTAAATATTTGTGTGCTGAAATTCGAAATTAAAATCAGACGTTTGAACTTGTTGATTTTTGCGTCGTATAATAATATTATTTAAATTGTGCAGGCATGCATACATTGTAAGTACTTATACTCACAGTGGCCATCTACCCAGTACTTGGTAGATACTTGAAAAGCAATTTTTTTTAGACACAAAATGTAATAATTACCTTACAGTTTACCTATCTGCAAATCTATCCCTAAATTATGATATACAAATGTAATCAATAACAATTGAATGTAATCAGATAAATTGAATAATAGTAACGCTATACTGTTTCGATGTGTTTTCGGTTGCAGAAACGAAAACACGTAGCGGTGGCGGAGGAGGAGGCGGTGGCGGCGGCGGCGGCGTCGGAGGCGGTGTTGACGGCGGTGCCGGTGGTGAATACGACTACTGCTGCGACGGCGGCGGCGGTGGCTGCGGCGTCGACGGTGGCGGCGGAAGTGGTGGCGATGGCGGCGGCGGTGGTGTGGACGGCAACAGTCACTGCGGCTTGTGCCTAGCCCGCTGTGGAGACACCATGGAGACGAGAATGGCCGCGTAATGAACGCGCTCGCGGCTCGGGCGGCGTTGTCTGCACTGTACACCGCGTCGACGTCGTCGTCGTCACTCGAGGCGGTGGGCGCCCATGCGTGGACGACGGTGGCGTCCGCGGCCGCGGCCGTGGTCTCGAACGGCACCACCGCGGCCGCCGGGCTGGCCGACGGCGGACCGCTGCAGCCCAGGTTCACGCTGTCCCAGACGGTGTTCATCGCGCTCGTGTCCGGCATGCTCAGCTTCGTCACCGTGTCCGGCAACATAATGGTCATGGTGTCGTTCAAGATCGACAAGCAGCTGCAGAACATCAGCAACTACTTCCTGTTCAGCTTGGCGATGGCCGACTTCTTCATCGGGCTCATATCCATGCCGCTGTTCACCGTGTACACCATACTCGGTTACTGGCCGTTCGGTCGGCACGTGTGCGACGGCTGGCTGGCGCTCGACTACCTGGCCAGCAACGCTTCCGTGCTCAACCTGCTGCTGATCAGCTTCGACAGGTACCTGTCCGTCACCAGGCCGCTGACGTACAGGGCCAAGCGGACCAAAGGCAAAGCGTTGCTGTTCATATGTAAGTGTGCACTCGAAAGATCATCGTTTTCGACAGACATTTTGTGCTACTTGAATATGCGATGATAATGTATTAACTGTTTGAGTTGTAGACTACCGTGTTATACTGTTGGTCCAGGGTCTGAGTCGTAAAACAACGAAAATCGTTAAATGAACGCTTGTATTACATGGTACCGACGGAGGGCGTGGTAAAATGTACATTAAAGTAATTTCTACTATAGAATGGTACATATTCAATTTTTGATACAATGACAAATAAGAATTGTATAAACGATTTTTTCGAATATATTTTACGTAACCCTCCTCCGTCATAAACGAGTTCTGCGTACGCCACTGATATTGTACGTCCTCGAAAATGAAGTTATATGCAATATAAACTAATGAAAATATTTCTATGTTTATGCGTCTGAGCATAATAATATAGCATGTACGCAAGTGTATATAAAGTGCAAGGACCTACCTACACAACGATTTCGCTTAATAGATTCAACATCTATAATACCTAATATGTGGTATTTGTTATGTCAATATTAAATGAGCTAAATAGGGTTTTGCTAGTTTGCTACCCACACCTCCAACCAACCCTGGTTCTAACATGATGTAGTTCTGCCAAGGTGCAGATACTCTTTACATTATAAGTTATGACTTGTATAAGTTATTGCATAAAAAGTTTTTAAATTTCCAAAGCACAACAACAAATATTAGTTCAAACTTCAATAAAATATAGTTTATACTGCACTCGTAGTTCAAAATCCAATTTGCTAAAAACTATTATATATTTCAATATAGGTACCTAATACGTTTGCAAGAATGAGGGTCTTTGTTTGAAATAAAGAATACGCAACTAACTGTACTACTTAATCACAATATTCGAATCAATAATTAACATATTAAGTCATAATTAATATATCATTTTAATGTAATATTGTCATAAATAGAGAAAAGTATATATAAATATCGAGTAAAATTGATAAAAATATGAGAAAATGTTATTTTTTATTTTAAATTATACACGCTGCGACGTTGCAACGTTTATAGATTGAATGCATTCGTGTATAATATTTAACAAAACAAAAAAAATTACTAACAGAGAAAAAATAAAACAAAGCTAAGATAGAGAACATTAATAACGGTATTATATGTATATCTTATATACTAATGATGAGAAACATATCCTACATTATTATAGCTAAAGATTTCTTTCAATGTAGATTTGATTAACGGCAAATAAAATATGTCAAGTAATCTTACTATCATAAATTGTGTATCCGGATACTGAATCTTTCTAAATTGTGTGACGCTTCAATGCAGCCACTTATTAACAGTTAAAATTTAAAATTTACTTAGAATTACCTACCATAACTCTTTCACTTTTTCTCAATTTACAACGTTTTAACAGGGGGTACTAAAAAAAAGCATGTGTATAGAAATCAGGAGAAGCTACACATAAATATCTAAGTCTTTTATTTGGTACTCGCGGTCCAGTAGTAATTCATTTGCACCATAACCGTATATACGTCAACACCTCGCTTTTCCTATGCATGAAACGACATAATTCTATATTTTCCTTTGTCGAGGTTGAGATATAATCTGACAACACTGAACAAATTTGTAAAATTAACTAGAAATTCTTGAAGAACAAGAAAATCTTCGATTTTTGAAAAAGTGTAAGATATTTATGAGCCATCAGTAAAAATAAGTAGCCGACAAGGATAAAAACAGAAATAATAATGGTGTTTTGACTTTTAACAATTAATAGTTATTTGTTGTTACTAACGCCAAAAGTAACACAATTATTAATATTATTCCTATAAAATATATAATATGATATTGAATATTCTATAAATTATAGTCTTTTGAAAAGAGTGTTATGAAATTAAAAGCTTATGAATTTTGTCTATCATTTAAAGGATTTTACTGTAGTTAAATTTTTCCAACAGGCTCTCTCAAGATACTAAGAAAGAATTGTATATATAAATATACTATGTAATTTATAAAATACTGACCACAGATATTTTAGTATAATTACAAAGTTTTGTAACACAAATCACAATTTACAATATAAATCCACTTTAGGATATTGATTATCAGTAAGTTTCTCATTATTCAAGTTATTTCAGACTTTCTAAGCACCTTATTATAAATTAAATATTAAAATATATCATGTTACTACTTGCAGCAACGAATCCACAGTCAATCCGAAATAATCCAAAAAAAATGTTCATTGTATTATATTTATGCAATGATATAAAAAAACTTAAAATATAGTTATAAGTAGGTAATGGAAAGCTTTTGATATTTTGAAATAATATTTTGTTGCATATTATATAACTATATAAAATATTAAAATACCAATGATATCGGTAGAATAAAAACAAATAATTTTAACTTTAACGTTCGAGAATCAATCGAAAAGTTTCATCCGGTATACATATAATTGTGTGGCGAATAAGCCAAGCCAAATTTGTAGATGATAGATTTAAACAGTAAACGAAACCACAACAAAATTCCTGCTCCTTGCTAGTATTGGAAAAATCAAATAAAACCGAGAAGTCCATTCTCAATGAAGATCCACCCACCACCAAGGCGCCACTGCTTATGCAGACAGCCATTGGAGAAACTTAAAATAAAGGCTAGATTTCAGCGGAAACAGACCGGCGACGTCGTGGTACCAAAAAAGTTCGATAAACCGGAAACGCGCATGAAATCTTTGCATGTGGGTGAGCTGACGTTTATCTGCAACACTGGTCACTGCGTGTCGGTTGATTAAGTCTGATGTGCAGCATTCAAATTAAGACGAGTCCCAAGCTTTAGACCGAAGTAATTTCTTGGCTAGGACTGTGACTTTGGGAAGTCAAAAGTAAAAAATTCCTTGTATTTGGAAAAATAATCGGGGGAAGTAAGTAATGACATTTTTAGGCTAAACCAGTTTTATACAAAATCTATTTTGTTTTCTGTTGTAATTGAAAAATTAATAATTGTAGTCCCCTGCTCACCAAATATATTTTTAAGCATTATAATCTAGTCGTCTAGAAATGATATAATTTTAAAAATATTTTGGCTATTTTGTGTTATTTATAGAGATTTTAAATTGTTTACTTTTCAAATTTTTTTTGATGATAACATTCTTGTTTTTAGTTAAAATAGCTTACGAATTAAATTCAGATTTCTCACTTACTCACAATGTTTATGAGAATATTTCATATACAAATTTAAATAAAATTCAATATTTAAACAATGGAACTAAAAATATTATGATTCTATGTATTCTGTTTTAATTTATAAAATATTATTTTTGAAGGAACTTGAAACATATAATATAAGCAAAATATTATAATATATGCAATTTGAATTTGGCAGAAATTAGTTCAACTCACCGTGTCACTAATGGAATTATAAATTATTTATAGCAATATAAATAAATAATAAAATATTCTTAGTAATATATGCTGACTTAGGATTTATCATTGAATTCAAATTTAACACATCCATTACAGCGACCTACTCAACGTTCATCACTCGACACCTACTATATATAGAGCAGAGCTATCATGTATCAATAATTAATATTTATTATTTATGGTTTTATTTATGCTTTCGTCCACCTTGAGTTTTTAGTACAAAGTTATAAATTTTCACCCGACACATTCTGTGGATGCACCACGCGCACCGTACTACGCGTAATACTACGTCATGTCACGTATTTTAAAACTTTTCATACAGACATTTACAATATAATAACTTTATGACAAGTGTAATATTATGAGTTTCATCGTTTTTAGACTGTATAAAGATTAATGTATTGTACAGTGATGTACACACGATAGACAAATACAGCGCCAAACGTGTAAGACCCGGAAACAATGAAAACTCGTATGTAATTTAATACGATAATAATATAATATAGGTCCTGCTCGAACAATGTAAATTGTAAATAATATCGTGTGTGGGTTACTACGGGCGTTGTCACTAATCCTTGCCAACAAGTGTTGTCGAATTCGCGTATTATAAACTGCACATAGGTACTTATAAGGACGACTATCAGATGATTTGACAGTGCCTGGTAACGGGTAGACTGCTGTATGACAATATACTCCACATGGTAGTACATGATATACATATTATAAATACATATTATAATGCAGCTATAGTCGGATTACGGACCGTGATGAAGATGTCGCCATTAAATATTGATTAATGTACAGAGTTTGATAGGCAGCCGCTAACAGCGAAACGTACCATATTATATTATTATTATCACGGTTCGTGGTATAAAGCAATGCAAAAAATTCAAAAATTCATTTTACACTATACGCCATTAATTGTGCAATAATTGTATGAATTGAATTCGTAGAGATAAGCACAGGCATGTTTTCAAAATATATATACAATTTTGTAAACGGTTCAAACGAGTACCTACATGTATTCGGAATAAGAATAAAGTAAAAATATAAACAAGTATATTTGTTTATAATTTATTTTATACTAGCCTATTAGAGTTGAAAAAAGGTTATCATTTGGATATTAATTAATAAAAATATTCGCAGGTGGCCTCACAATGTTGTTCTAAAAAAAGTAAAAAAAAAATTTTTTTTAAGTTTGAAAAATATTATTGCCATGGACAAACTAAACTTTAGTTAAAAATATGATAATCGTTGTGTATGAGGTATGACTTAAGGTAGCAAATTCAATAAATTCATAAAACTATGTTGAGTACAATTTAGTTATCAAAAAGTTCTACCTAACCTATTTGTATAATGTCGTCTAGGTATCTCGTATCTGTTACCTATATTTTTCTACATTACTGATATGAAAATTCCATTGCACTGAATTTACAAGGCACACCGGGCACTTTTGTATAATACGAGCAGTTAAATGATGTGCTGATTGAGAAGTATAAAGGTACCTAACAGGCTGATGTAGAATTTTCAATTTTGTACGTTGTATGACGAAATAATACGATTGTGGTTAAGTTGTTACAGTTTCAATAAAGATTGTTTTATTCAATTGCAGCGGATCGAAATCAAAACATGCATCAATGTTAAATTAATATGAAAAATATTAGGTGCAATAATACTTATTGTACAAAAAATAGCTTTTCATTTTATTTTATTTATTTATCTAATACTCTGATCCCAATGGCCGTTGCAGTGTTCATGTATACCAGTACCATTATATATGATAAATGTGTTAAGAATAATTAAAGAAATAATTATTATCATTCAGTTTAGGTACCTAGCTATATATTCAAAAACTAAAAACGTTTTCATTAAGTGAACGGAGTTTGATGGCAAGGCGTATCTTTAATCGATGACGACGTGATGTCGCGTTGTTGAGTTTTAATTTAAACTTGTCTATGATTTTAACGAACTGTTAAATTGGTTTCCCGTTAGCTCGTGAAAATGTTTGATATACAGAATTTCATCATAATACACCTTCGTTAATGATATAATATTTTCAAAGTTTATACTCACCATGAGTGTTGAAGTGTACGTTGCTCGTAAAACAGCAGTTATACATAATACAGTGAAATTTCCATACAACGAACTTCCATTTAACGAATTATTTTTGAGAACCATGATCTTTATTGTTAATTACACTTAAATTCATCTCCAAATAACGAATCTGATGTGTCTATATAACGAAATAATTATTCAATAAAAACTGGTTTTCGTAAATGTTGTCACTACCTATTAAATTTTAAATATAGTTCTAAAATTGTACATTTACAATGTACCCGATAAAGATAAGACACCGGAGGAAGGCAAACTGATTAATTTTTTTTGCAGTATTTTAAAACTTAATGATACAGAAACTTTTTACAAAAAGAGTACAATTTATGAAAATAATAAGCAAACAAAACTCACTAATTATTTCTTTTGAATTAAAAACTTGAATTTAAAAATTAAAAATTAAATTAAACTGTAATATTATATTTGATGTTGTTCTTTACACAACATATACAACATAGAAGTATATACATACATACAATAACATTTTTAAAAAAAGTTGAAAAAAATACGTAATTCTATTTAACGAATTCCTCCATATCATGAATGTTTTTTGCTGCTTATTCGATTTCGTTGTATGGAAGTTGCACCGTATTGTTATTTTTTATTTTCAGCGGCCGCGTGGATCATTTCGCTCGGCTTGTGGCCACCGTGGATTTATCTGTGGCCGATCATAGAAGGTCGTCGGACCGTGCCCGAAATTCAGTGTTACATACAGTTCATACTGACCAATCAGTACATTACTTTCGGCACGGCCATTGCCGCCTTCTACGTACCGGTAACGGTTATGTGTTTTCTGTATTTCCGAATATACAGAGAGACAAAAAAGAGACAAAAAGACTTGCCGAATCTGCAAGCCATGAACAAACCACACAAGTGAGAACGAAAAAAACAATACCGAAAATTGTTTTCAGTCGATACTAATGTTTTAATACTCGTGTGTTTTCGGACTTTTAGCGATCATCAACACGAGGAATCGTGGGGTCGCATACGATCTGAGTCGAATCAAGTGAATTCGTTGGATCGACGGGAAATGTATGAGACCAGTTCGTTGCGCAAGGCGTACTCTCAGTGTTCATTGGTATTTATAAACTAACGAATTTTATTTAGTAGTTGATAACCTATTTATAAAAAATAAGCTAATAATTCGGTTAAAGGGCACAGTCCAATGTTGAGTACACGGGTTTGCACGTGGGTGTTATAATATTTATACTTTTTACTTAACGGAAAGTTAAAAAGCTCATATTAATATTTTTAAAACGATTCCGCATAGAATGTCCTTTATGAAAATTTAGGAAAATTATCAAGGCATAATATAGCATTGTGTCGTACATAAATATTAGATAGAAAATATATACAACAGTAATGACGTAATGTTAAATTATTATACCTATCATTAGATAAAAAAAATGATATTGAAAAATGACCGCGAAAGCACAAAGTGCCCATAAAAATACGTATCATCGAATTAGCCATATTTAGCATCTATATGCCCTCTCCCCTCCGTTAAAAGGAAGTTTTTACTTCCGATTGGCCGTTCCCGGGAGCAGCTCGAAATAATTCGTTTTTGTTAGTCGTCGAATGCGAGCAACTCCCGAGACTGTGAGTCTATATACAGAGCACATAGTCCGACCCTAGAGCGCGCGTATTGACCGCGTGCATTCCTCCAGGACCGACCGGGTGGCTTAGTCCGGGAACGGAAACCTAACGAATTCCCGCAGGGACTGTGATAATAATCGTTTGCTCGGCAAGAGGATCCCTGTAATGTCCGGAAAACATAAATGAATTTGTATTTTATTTATAAAGTAGTACTTCTTCGTAAACAATATAAGCTCATTGTAACATGAAAATATGTTATCATATTATTTGGAAAAAAAAAAATTATATTCGACGGCCGATAACAGCTATAACGCGGCTTACTGGGCACCGGCAGGGGGAGAGGTTTTATGAGCGGATTTATGAGGCTATTTTCTTTAAGTTATCATGCAGCAGTGTGATTTTATATTACTGTATTTGAATTTAAATTTTGATTCTATTTATATCCTATAAGATATTAAGTAAATATTTTATGACAGAGAGTAATTCTATCGAGGATAGAAAACTGAAAGGAATAAATAAGTGCATTTAAAACATGTGAGTGGTCTTAGAAAAAAAAATGGTTTGTTTAGCGAAGACCGAAGTTCGTGTCACCCTTAGTTGAAACCACGCGAGCTGCTCTCGCCAACAGTGATGTTTGCGTGCTACGGCGCTCAATTTAGAATAATAAAATATTTTAAGTCCCAAAAGTATTTTTTAAGAATCTCTTCGAGTATGATTCGGCCCTTGATTATTTTTGTCTCCGTAGTATTTGCTACTATTCCACCAGTAATTTATAATACATATAATAATATATATTATTTTAAGCAGATATAATAGTGTTATTACTTCTGACCTGTTACCGTACATAATTACGTATTTTTACATAACTCTTTTACGCTTTTTAAGACACAAGACATATATATTTAATTATTTTTTATTTTTTTACTAATATATATTAATTAATACACTAATAGGTACATTTACATATTTATCATTCGGATCTACTATATTTGATTTTGTCTTTTTCACGGTGCATTTTTGGACAACAGCCCCGGTCACTCCTCCCGATTATCCTCCACTCTCTCCCAATACCCACCCCCTACCTCGCACTGCTTACCGACCATCATAACGGCGATCGGATATCTCGTGTTCTAGAAAGCGAGGCGCCTGCTGACGTGGTCGTGGCTGCGCGATTGGTGCGTGGACTGGTGGCACTCGGGCCGCGACGACGAGTACGACGAGGAAGACGATCAGACGCCAAGCGACGTGCCCGGTGGCATTAGCTACGGAACGACCGTGTCCAGGTCGACGTCGCTGAACGTCATACACCAGCAGCAGCCCACGACGCCGACGCCGATGAAATCCTATCACGTGGTCAACAATAACAACCGACTGACCAACCGGTCCTTGTCCAACGACTCGGTAAGTACGGCCGCGGCCAATTCGTCATCATAAGTAGGCAGAGTACGTATTTTTAAGCACCAAGGACCACTGTTGAAAGAGCATTTAAAACGAACCAAATAACCATTATATAATGATTGCAATCTATGACACCATAAAATGGGGATTTTCCGATATTTTCTGTTATTATTTATAATTTTTGTAATCATACCAACAAGACTGTTGGTTTCACAAGACTGATTAAACAATAGGGTACCTAGGTATTCCAGATATGTTGGTATTTATAATAATATACTCTAGATAAAACTATATAATATTATCTGATGTAGATACTACGAGCAAAATATGCTTTATTTATAGTCGATAGCAATTTTATTCCAATATTTTCACCAAGTTTGAAAAGAAAAATACAATTAGTATATTTTTCTGATGTGAAACATCTAATGCAGTGGATGAGATGACCGGCTGTTGGCGTGGTCACCCGCTCGAAACATTTAATGCGCCTTTAAAATAAAGAATAGTTGTTCTTAAAAAATCTGAATATTTTGTTTTTTGATTATGCCATGTTTATTTCCTTAATTTTTTTTTTTTAAATTCATTTATTATAATAAATTATACATAGCTCAAAAGAGCAAGTTTACAATAAAATAATTTAATAAGATGAATCTATATACCACCTGTAAGCAAGCTTGTGATGATGGTAGAGAGTTACAAAATCTAGTAATTAAATAATAATTGGTAAAAATATAAATAAATAAAATTATAATATACATAAAACACTAGTTTAAATGAGTTTCTAACCAATAGAAAATCAATTTTTTGAGATTCGACTTTTAAGATGAACCATCCTTTCAATTTTCATGCGTATTTTCCATATAAAATAATTTCGATGTTTCACATACATATACTAGGCATCCCGCGATGGCTCACTTTTTTTAAAATGTATTAGTAGGTACACTAAAGTGTTGTACATTTATTCTAAACTATAGGTTCGAATCATAATTATACCTGATAAAGTTTTGTTTTGAACAGGTATGGAAAAAAAGGAAAATCTATCAAAATTCGAACTCTAATCATAATTATAAAATATTCAGTGTTGTTCATATTAAACATAAATTTTATAAAAATTTTTTATTGAAGACCTTAAAATTGCGTTTTGAAAATTTCGACAAAATTAGAACGCTCGGATATTCATAATATAGTAGAAAATGTAATAGAAAACTATACCAATTTTGAAACCAACAATATAAGTCGATAGCAATAATATATTATGTAATGTATTGATACCTATGTATTATATACATATTGTTTTATCTATCAGCATTAATAATTCAAAAAGGATACCATAGTCCATAGTATGAAAAGGTATTTTCACTCTATTTCACGTAGAATAATTTAAATCTATAATAACCTAGAAACCTACCCACTACCCGGCACCCGATGTCTTTTTAAGTTTACGAAAAATCAAAGTTTTAAAATATTAGAATTTCGTTAACGTCGATATTGTACGTCATTAATTATGGAAGGTCATATCGGATAACATAACGTCATTAGTTTTTCTATTATTATTTATTTCGTAATACTTTATATACTTGGCTTCTGTGTTCGCAATTCATAATAAAGTCTGAGAAACAAATTTATAAAATCAACATGGTCAATTATGGTACAGGGCATATCAGACAAGTACCCACCTAATAATTTTAGATATGATGTAATTGTATCGCAGCGAGGCATTTTCGAGTAGGACGAACTTCGATCAATAAAACATCTATAGAAATGTAAATAAATGTTTACTTCTTTCAAAATTATTGTTGTTATCGTATAGACTTTATTAGATATCAATAATATTCAAATATCCATATTATACATTTATCGCTGTATAACCGTAAAACCGGGTTACTTGGGACATATGGTTAACTTGAATACAAATAAGAGGTACTACCTCAGTGTAGAGCAAAGCTGGTAACTTCATATATCCATCCATTATACTTTGTGCACAATTCTTCTATACTAGCAATAAATAAATATTATTATATAAAAGAAAAATGATAGTGTTATCAATTATAAGATTTGAGCACTAGAAATGTTTTTAATTTTAATCACACATTTATTTATTATCACTTTCACAACGGTCGTCTTGCTGAATATAGTAAAATCTTGTTTAAAACGCCGAAACACAAATTCAATTATATGATAAATGTGATTAGGTATAATGCTTTAACTGAAGAATACTAAATCAACAATAATATTCTATTATTGTCTGTACTTTTTTGATCCAAAATCATTTCCCCCACCACAAACCTTTTGTTATTATAATGTTATTATTTTGTAGAAAAATCATAGTTTTTTAAAAATGTCAGTGGGTGCATGGGTACTATTCGTTTTTAAAATATCAGCACAAACACGACAAGAACACCAATAATAACAACTACCCACTACCAAAAAAAAAACAACAACAATGATAATACTAACAATAATCATGACAATAATAATAATAATACGAACTCGTGGTTTTTTCGTGCCACGTTCGATAATAATATGTGCAGGTGTACACGATCGTGATAAAGTTGCCGGGCGACAGCGACCTCCAAGACGCGCCGACGGTGAAGCAGTATCACGGGTGTTACGAGGAGTCGCGGCGGCACGGCGCGGGCGGCCCGATGTCGCGCCGGCCGTCGTCGCAGGACATGCGGCTGCCGCTGAGCGCGGCAAAGATCGTACAACCCAAGCAGCTGACCCGGGCACAGGGGGCCGCGTTCCAGGCCAAGGAGAAGAAGAAGAAGAAGTTCCAGGAGAAGAAGAGCGAGCGGAAGGCGGCCAAAACGCTGTCGGCCATACTGCTGACGTTCATCATCACGTGGACGCCGTACAACATACTAGTGCTGCTGAAACCGTTCACGGCGGCCACCGGGGGCGACGACGGCGGCGGAAACGAGGGCGACAGCAACAAGGAGTGGGTGACGCAGGGCATGTGGGACTTTTTCTACTACCTGTGCTACATCAACAGCACCATCAACCCGGTGTGCTACGCCCTGTGCAACGCCACGTTCCGCATGACCTACGTGCGGATACTCAAGTGCAAGTGGAACACCCGCAGGCAGCCACCGCACTTCCGCGCGTGATGATGATCGCCGCCATGACCGGCCGGAAGCGGTACTGCGCCGCGGCTACCGCATGTCCGCATATATGTTTATATAATATATTACCTACTTTTATATACTATTACGTACACTCTCGTTTTCGGGTTTTTTTTTCTCGCCAAGCCGCCCCTTTTCCCCTGCCGACGCGCCACCATGAAACGTGCCAGGGGTGATCGTACGATTGAGCACGTTGGTCGAGCCATTAATTGTAGGTACGATTGGTTATTGAGCACAGTTCGGATTGAGCATAATAATATGTAAGGGATGGCTACGGGAAAACAAATAATAATAATTTAGTGCGATTTCGTGATTTAACACCGTCGCCATACTAACGTTTTCGAAAATGACCGATGACTTACAACACAATAAAATATCGACCTAAATATGCAAAATAGATTTTTCGGAATTTTTCAGAAACACGAAATACAGTATTTTAAAAGTTCAACAATAGTTTAAAAGTGTCAAAAAAAAATAATGACTGTTCACTCATTTCCAAAGTTTACCGGAGATGGAGTTGGCCACGGTGATAAAAAGCAGTGAAATAGCCATCTCAATTTATACGAGAATTTTATGTTTTCCTTGAGTATTCGAGTCACCCACGATTTTCGTTTCAATAATCTTGGCAACGTTTTTGATACATGGAAAAAAAATGATGCTTGTTCAATCGTACAAATAGAACACTTAAAAAATAGCTTGAAAATAAAAGCGTGCTTAATCGTATTTCGCCCATGTTAGGTTACGTTAAAGGCGTATACTATATACTATAACGGCCAACGGGGCTGCAACCTCGAAGTACACGTGTGCTGAAAAACTGTCAGGGGACGTGTCACCACTAGTGTATTTGCGGGGTGGTCGCAGGGCGTGTGGTAGAGGGGTGCGCGGGAGCAAGTGCGGGGCTGCGAGATAAAAAAAAATACGAAAACTTATAGGGGAAAAAAACTAAAAAAAAAGTAATATAACGATTTTAAGACTGTTCGCGGGATCCACATGGTTATCCCGGCACAAGTGTGTATTTTATAAAATATTTAATATACCTACCTACGTAGGCACACGCGCGTATAACATTTAACGTTTATATATATTATTATGTTATATAAAATGTTCATAGGTGAAATATACCTACGTAAAAGCCAGTGGCGTAAGACGTGCGGAGACGCATTTACGAAGCGTACAAATCTGTCTCCGTGGCCCTTTTTAATTCTCTTTTTATTTTATAGACATTTGCCACGGTGTGAGGAACAATCATCTTTATAAGTACCTACCATATTCCATAATATTAAAACGATTAAAAAAAAAAAAAAAATTGTATCACCTAAAATATCGTTGCAATGCGCGATAATATTATCATCAGAAATACTAATACCAGCTGTGTCAACTCCTAAATACGCCACTGGCTATAGGTAATATAAACGCGTGAGACCTATTGTTTGTATCGCTTTTCGTCGGCCCATATCCATATTATAATAATAATAGTAATAGTAATAATAATATAAATTAATTTAGTAATAATGATAATAATAATTATAATAATAATATAATATACGAACAATAACGATCGAGTGGGGCATAGAGGTTATTGCAGAGAAGGCGATTCGAAAAGCTCGCCTGCGAAGTGGCGTGGCGGGATTTCAGCTAAAATATACTTTGAGAACGTGTTCGATATCATCATTATCATTATACATAAAGGTCAATAGTAAATAATACCAAATATATGTTAGGTGTATGTTCAAGTACTAATAATTTATTAGTGTAATTTATTATCAACGTACGGTCAGACAATGGACGAGATTATGTTTTTTTTTTTTTTTTTTTAACAGTGATTTGAATATCTTGACTACAAAATTAAATTTTTTCATTTTATGTTAAAAATTCACTCACTTCAATATTCATTTACATTCAGACACGATCAACGTGATTTACCAATGTTAACATTATCATACATATTATAACACTGAATTTAGTGTCGTGTACATTTAACGTAGCAGAAATTTGTTATTAAATTACCAAATAAATAATAATCATCATACCTATGATATTATTATTTCATAGTGACATGGCTGACAGCAGGGAAAAAATAAATAGTATTACAATTAAATATTTGTTTTTATTTCATAAGTAACTGGTTAACGTATAAATTTATAACTCATAACGTGTCTAACGCCAATGTAATAGTAACGAAATGTCAAATAGCCAAACGGCATAAGTATATTGTATATGATATTAGTTTATAAGTATAATATTAGCTTTTAAACGGGACGAAGGAAGTAAAACATGTTTCTTTCATAAACCACGTCTATTGATTATAAATTTAAATTAAAAAATATATCTGATATTTTGATTTAGACAAAATTGCAAAATGTTCAGAAGTTTTCGGGAAAAATGTACAGGGAGATAATAACAATCGGTATAGGTTAACACGGCCTTAATATTTTCAATGCTGAATTTTATAAGAACATTTTACCTGTCAAAAAAAATGAATAATGTTTGCAAACAAAACCATTTGATGATTAATTTGTGTATATTTTTGTGAAGCTTATAATTTTCTATTCATTGTACTGAACTCTACCTTTGAAAAGTCCTAAATATTTCCGGTTTTAATGAATGATTCAAAAGATTAAAATAATAAATCTAACACCTTACAAACATTTATAGTTACTCATATTCACATACTAAGCATACTCACTCCCATGATTTTCTTTTAATAAAGAATTTATTAAAATTCTGTTCCTATAGGAGTTATACTTAATTATATTTTAAGGACCATAATATTTTCAAATACTTAGATTTTTTATACCATTTAAGGAATATCCGTTGTGGTGAAAACATTTTATTTATTCCAAATGAAAATTACTATTTGTCCTACAAAATGTTCAGTATACGACTTTTTTGAATTTGTAGATATATCCAAATCGACATTTGAACGAATATTTTTTGAGTTACTAACCTTGTGTACTAACTACCATAGTTAGTTACTAATATAGTTATTACTTACAATTATAGTTACTTACTGTAGTCTGTAGATCTATGCAATACCTAATAGGTCTCCAATGATGATTTGAAAACTGTAGGTACTAAGCACACACAACAGGACACCCGAGAATGATACTTATAACAAATCTAAATAGTTTAAAATATTGTCCTTAAGTATTCATTAATTCATTATTTAAGAAAAAGTGGGAATAAGTATGCCTGGTGGATCACCCTGTATATTGTATATATAATATATAAGTTTGAAGATCGACAAAAGTCAATTTTTACGATCAAGTTTTCAGATTTTTTATGAAACATATTTTTTAGTGTAGGTAATAGGTACCTATGCATAATATGAATTACCATCTGTAAATAAACGTATAATAAGATATTCAGGTTGAAGTTTTCCATGGTAGTGTTTTCTATTATCGGTTGCCGTCTAACCTCGCTACCGATGAATTTTATAGTAGGAATAACATAAACATTAAACACACTTGAAGGAATGATCTCATGTATAAAAAAGTGACCGTTTTGGGGGTAAAACCAATATGGGGTAATTTCTTTATGTTGTAGGCCTGTACATAAATATGTTCCTAAAAGCAGGGACCAAAAAATGGGTCGACAAGCACTTATTATATTAGGTACAAGGGATTGTCCAAGGTGACAAAGCAACTTTTTTTTATATTATTCAACTCTTGTACAAAGCAGCTTTAAAGAGAAGGGCAATGTGTACCAAGGTTTTTTCAATAATGGAATATAAATTTAAAAACGTTTATCATTATCTTAGATACCCTAATAACTCCTAACAACTGCCGTGAACAATTTTTAAGATTTGATAATTTTAACATTTTCAGATTCAGTTGAAAATATATAGAAATATACTTATGTAACTGCCCAGTATTTAATAAAATATTACATTATACATTATTACTTTACATACAATTAAAAACAGAAATTTTATCGAATTTTTCTTTTTATATTTTACCATATAACTACCTACCATAATATATAACTTAAATGACCAGATTAACACCTATTTACCTACATAGAAGTGATTTAGTACCTACCAACCTACCTATATGTCTGACACGTGAAGTTGTGATTAATTGTTACGTATAAAAAATATGATTTAAAATTTATATTTATTATATAAATTGAATGTGAATTTAATGAAACCTAATCAACGATATTAAAATATATTATAACTTAAAAACTATTATATTTCAAAGTACTTATACTGTTATAAATCAAAAACAAAGTGTACTTTAAAATAAAATGATTTTTTTTTTATTAGTTTGATATTCTTAAGAATCGTGGTGTATAAATTATATTATTAACAAAATTTGTACTATTGTCAAAAAAAAATAAAATGAAAACAAAACAAATACCTTTTTTTAATCAATTATATTGATCAGATTTATAATATGTTTTCAGGTGAATAATTGAATAGTCAATAGGTCTGTTAATGGTGAAACAAGTTGCTGCTTTCCTGGTGAGATACAGTAACTGAAAAACACTGCATGTTTGGTACTTGACTGTTTTGAATTTTACTTACCTACCTCGACATAAGCTATCGTGTGTTACAACTTTACAATTCTAATTTGCGGAACAAAAAAAAAATCATGCAATTTAGTAAACAATTCAATATAAAACTTATCGTTTCCCATATAAAGAAATATTGTTGGTTCAGTGTTAATAAAATAATATAAATTGTGCCTAAGTGCACATACCTACTTAATTAAAATGTGTATAGATTTAAAACGTGATAAACTACATCTATATTAGAGCAACAATTTTGTATTAAAATTGTTAGCCTTTGGATAAGGTCAGCTCTCTATTATTAGATTTTATTTTTTTTTTACCTACCGGAAAGTTATGAGTAGGTACCTATGTAATATAATATAATTTGAAAATCCTCATAGTGTACTTATATTAAAAAATTGAAACTCCGTAAAAAAGCTAACATACAACATTACAAACTTAGATACAGATCCTTATTTTTTTTAACTTTTAGTTTGCTGTATCAAATTAATATTTAATATTATAAAATACCAATGCACTCTAATATTAATATTAACACAGGACTAGTTCTGATAAACACAAAATTTCTATGATCAGATCAGAGAGAACAAATAGTGCGCACTGCGCTGAGTACAGACAAGTTGCAGTAGGTAAACCAAGTTAGATAGTTATTACTTACTCAAAACTACAAATTGCATTACGATGTAAGATCATATTTTTTAAAATGTTTGAAATAAAAAAAATTAGGTGTTTTTTAATGTAGTATTGCAAATTGCAATAGTGTACCTATTACATTCTCCCTACATTAAAATTCAAAGTCTATATGATGGCTATAAAGTTGTAGTAATTGAAAAAGTCTTTCTGGAACTCCAGGCTTACGAGTTGCGATAGATAATGTATAAGCGATGGGTTTTTTGGTTTTATTGTATTTTTCAAAAAAAGTTCTGTATAGAATTTCAAAAAACTCACTTTGTTCGACAAAATCTTAAAAATAGTTGGTATTTTATTATAAAAGTTTTGCAGTCAATGGTTTTTTTAAACTGCCACTCATATAAAGGCTTTGAGCTGTGGCATCATTCAAACAAAGAAAAAGTATTTTTTTTTTGAATAGGTAGGTACTCAGTACGACCCTCAGTTATTCTGATAATCAACCTTGTGCGGGAACAACAGTTTCTATATTTTTTTATAGTTTAACGTTTTTTAATAATAGTAAGTGATTATTTTCAAATAAAAATGGCAGGTGCCTCTAAGAATTAAGATACTTGTAAATTAAAGCGGCAGTGGTTGTAACTTCAAACAGTTAAAATATTGTGTGGTTACCACATTTTCTACATAAATTAATCTTATGTAAAAAGTAAATTTTACACTGGACGTCTGGATAATATAATAATATTATAGGTATAGGGGTATTGCAGTTATGGGCATATCTATACAAGAGTGCCAACTATATGGGGGTGAAGCAACCCTCAAGCACTGCATGACCAATTCCAAGGGATGCAAAAATGAATAAAACAATACGTATAAGCACTCCGTCCAATTTGAAAAAACCCGTTGCTAATGGAGGTATAGCATATCATATACTTAATTATGTTTCTATTTTTATTCATACAATTATTTATACTATTATTAGTTATAGCCTATAAGTAAGTCATAAACTTATAAAATATAATATTTGGGAAAATATAAATTAGATCTGAAAAATTAATTTAATATTCAATATTTGAATACGATAATAATATACAAAGGCACTTTTTGTATAAATTTCAAAAAACACATTTTCTAAAAAACGTTCAATAGAAATTGGTCCGTAGAAGAGCTTGTACATATTATTGTATTGTTATAATATTACCAATGTATGTACATTTGTATATTTAGACTCATGTGTGAGAAAATTGTGGCGACGAGTGATCAATTTTTTTTACAGCAGGAAGTTAGGTACTTCTTTACCTCAACTAGGTAATTATTGAATAAGCAACATAAACTAGACTCGTCGGATTACTGTGTCGAAATCAGAGAAGAAAAGCTGTTGATCCGTGCCAATATGTCATTAATGTATATTTGTATGGCCTGATGTCTACTGTAATTGCGCACTCCAACATTCAGGTAAGGAAGTGGGAGCAAAATATTCGTTGGAGCAAAATATGCTTTATTCTAAAAATTATGTGATTTAATGTACATATTTTTATGACGACTGATCACTAATGTGTACTGGAAGTGAAACCACAATGTCAATACTCACTATGTCATAGACATAATAATAAATATTACCTATCTTCTCTACACCATGCTTGGAATGAATAATTTTTGTGGTATATGAAATTTAGTAGTTGTGGCATTTTTTTACAATTATTCGGCACATAAAATAAAACCCATACGGCTTTCTCATTAGTTCAACATTTGGTGCGATAAAAAATTTAAATTTTGAAATGATACTTCTTTACGAGGGTACGAAAAAAGAAATTCACAGTCGGCATGACCGTGGTGGGTTTTTTTCGTACCTCTGTAAAATGTTCGTTAGTTAAGCCTTAAGGTTAACCTTTAGAAGTGTTATTTCATCCACGTGTACTCGCAATATGTGAGATTTTCATAAAATATTTATTACTACATGCATCATACAATTTTAACTCTTTTTAAGCTATTACCTTTATGTTTTTTTAAACTGCTGTCGATATAAAAAACTTGAAGATTAAATGTAAAGTTCTCTGTGAATATTGTTATACCTAATAAATTTTCAAAAATATAAAAGATTTTATATTACATGGTTTTTTTTTTTAAGCATATAAAACTAAAATTTTGACAAAATTCATGACAATCACGAAAATTTACAAATCATTTTGTGGTTTAAAATGTATGAAATGTTTAATTTGAAAAACTGGGTTTTTCATAAGTAGTTCATGGTGTAACCAAAAAATACATGAACCCATTTTTTATTTTGACAGATATTTCAAGTTCATACTTGAAAGACATTTGATATAATATTTGAATGAAAAATAACAATTTTAATTATTTTGTTGTAATTTAAAAATATTATCCGTGGGTATACTTGCAAGTATACATGAATTATAATTTTCCTCACACATCTTCACACGAGCTGACAAGCATGAGATATTCATTGAAGCTCATTATTTTGTTAAAATAAATACAAATACAAATACTTTTTCACTCTTAGTACGAAAAAAAAGAAACAATATTTTGTTTAGTAACAGTATTTTTATTTTACAGCCGAAAATATAAAATGTAAATGTTGATAATGTTATGACACAAAGTGTAAATTAAAAAAAAAATGTTTGTAATTTAGTATATAATTTTTTGACACAATGTTTTGAAAAATAAAAATTGTTAGTATTCGAACAAAAAAAAAAAAATTGGCTTTTCAAATTTATTTAGAAAAAAGAACAAAAAAAATTATAATCCATCATACTCCATAAGTCCCGACGACCGGTCCCGCGGAAACCTAACCTAACCTAACGAGTGCAATTTTTTTCGCAGAGACGATCATCTAGAGTCTAGACGACTGGTTTGGGCCCGACCACAACGACCGCTCAAGTGACTGGACGATTGGCAGCGGGGCGTCTAGTGGCGCGATGTTATGCACTCGACGATTGGCAGGTGCTGAGGACGACTGTCGCGGCGTCGACGGAGGAGACGGGGCTGGGCGAGCGAATACAGCTGTGATTGCTGCGAAATCGATAGCCACCGGAGGTCGGTGGGACCGAAACTCAGCAAAAAGGGGAGAGCACCTGAGCAACGCTCTGCGACACACAGCGATCCCGCCGATACTTTCGTGATTTTTGCCTTGGAGTCCCGTCGACCGAGGTGGTCGTCCGGAAGTCTCGCGCCGCCGTAAACTGAAACTCATAATCGAATTTCCGAGGGTCCGGCGATGCTGTGACTTCTATCTTAGCTCCATCACTCACCGGACGCGCTTTAAAATCTCCTCTGCCGCCGCCACAACTCGCTCTCGTGCACGTTGTGCCATCGTCGAAGTGCCGTGGAGGCGGAATCGGTGCCCTCGCCGGTATAACTATATAGCCGCCACGCCGTGTCGCCGCACGTCACTACAGGTTCGGCCGAAGCAACCGGGCCCGCGCCGAGTCGCCAGATGATATCGTCAACAATAGCGACGCCTACAACCGCTGACTCGTTGCGCCGAGAGTGGCCGGAGAACGTATTCCGGTGACATACCCGCCTTACACCGCGTGCTCTTTCGCTTGTCAATCCCCCATTACTTGTACCGCCTTGTCTTTCGTGGTGCTTCTCGACCGAGGAGGAGGTAGCGGTGAACTCCGGGTTACTCCCCTCGGAGGCGACCGCATATCAGAAGACGGGTTATACGTCTTACGCTCCTCCAGGCGGTGGTTACGATCCTCCGTGATCGCCGGCCTGCGGGTTTGCAGCGTGTCTTTATTAATGGCAGATGCTCCGGTTCACACGGCTCTTTCACTTTGGCTTCGACCTGGGCCGAAATGTCTTTGTCTAACACTATTAAATCGTCTATACTCTACTGGTTCAACTTCCTGCTCCTTCGGTCCGACGTCCAATATTGCATATTGCAGCTCGGACCATCCGGGCGCTTCCGAGAAATGAAATACTTCGTCATCACAGGCAAATTCCGAATTCACATCTTTGCACAACGTCTCAATGGTATCGTCTAGAAGAGACGAAGCGACCTCGTCTAATGATTCCACTGCGGGCTGCATGACGCCATCGGTTGTATCTTCTACTTCTACTACGTCGATTGAAGCGCATAATACGGTATCTTCGGTTTGAATGGTACGGCCGGTTTCTCCTGGTTGGTTCGTTGTATCTGGTTCTGATTCTGGTTCTGGTTCTTGTTCGACCATATTGACTCTCAACGTATCTCCGTTTTCGAGGTTGTTGTTATCCCCGGTTTCCAGTGTGGCTTTTTCATTTTCGTCTTCCATCAATATGGCATACATGCTCATTATATCGCCGAAGATTTCACTGATGATCGATTCGATTTTGGTATTCATGTTTAATCGGATTTTTTTTTTTTTTGGCAGTGAACTATAGTATTGCGATGAGGGGTCGGAGACAAAATTTGCAAGTGAATTAAAATAACAATCTCGTCAAAAACAGTTCACGAAAAGTTAAAATATCCCCCTGGCGACGCGTTTGACGTCGTTTACAACTAGCCAGCGCAAGTAAGATGGTCGTCGTTCTTAACAGCCGGCGTAAGATTTCGGGCTTGCTTATTTTTCCTAACATACAGGTAGTTTTTGTTGATAGATACACACTAAAACGCTTAGGTATCTATACAATATTTTAACGAGGATCGGTATTTCGATTTGTATTTGCACTAGTTTTATACTTGTAGGTAAAGTATTTTAGATGCTAGGCGAGACGGTATGAATATATTAATTTAACAAGGAAGTGAGTTTTTTTCGTGTGTATGTGTGTACATGTTTTATGGTAGAAAAAATACTTCGATGTTCAATTTTATTCGTGATTTCTGACAGCATTTGTAGTTTTTTGGTACTTTTAGTGATGAAAATATTCTCCTGGTTTTTCGAACTCATCGGTTATCTATTATCTGCAGTCAGAACTTGGTGGAATTTAGTGTGGTATTAATATTATTCTGCATATTTAAGTATCATATTTTATAAGTCTAAGACATTTTTTTTTCCATATTACGTTCCTTTTTTTAGCAACCAACAATATAATATTGTTACGAACACCCGAGGCTGATCAAAACAATACACTAATAATACCATAATAATTATTATGTATATTATAATAAAAATTATTTGGCATAGCTAAAATAATAAATTAAGTAGGTTCAATAATAATAGGTATAAAATAAAATATTTATAATAATATTATCTTTGTGACTCCCCTACAAGCAATTATCTACCTTTTTCTCATCAGCTTGTGTATAGTACTATGGTAGTATTTATAAACTTGAATTAAGTGCAGTACGAAGTAGGTACAATTCTAAAGTTGTAAACTAAGCGATATTTAAAAAAATAAAAATGTTTAGCCCACGAAAATATCATCAACACTAATTATGTATAATGTATAAATTCTATCATTCATATTTTTATTTTTACATAAAGTGTATATTTTTATAAAATCAATTTTTTTTAAGACATTTTAATTCAAATAAATGTATGTTATTGTTAAAGTAATTTAAAATATTGATACATTAAGTAGCCCATATATTTGGGTAGAAGCCAATATATGCAGAGTTATAAAGTCCAATCTGTCTATATTAAAATAATATTTAGTCACATAATTATTGATATTTTCTTTATTTCGGGTAGGTACTCATACCTATTATATGAGTTCACATTATAATGTTCAACTCGGCTTCAACCATGCTTAAACCAGTATATTAAGCTGTATGATAAATTAATTACATGGTTAACTGAATCCACCGTTTGTGGTAGTTCTCACTGTTGCTTTTTGTATGTACCTAAGCATATTATAATACATGATTTTTTTTTTCAATTGCCTAGCTTGTAGGTAGAGAGATAAGTAGGTTATGAGTTATAACTTATGTCACTAAATACAATTTAAATTCTCACCAAAACATTGTTTCTTTTTTACGTATTAAGAGTGTCTTTATTTTTATTTATCTCAATAGAATATTGGGCCTCACTGATTATGCTCGAGCGATGGCCCACGAAAAGTTAACAAAAAAGCAATATTATATTTGAGTAAATGTATTTACAATTTAAATATTGTTTTGTAAAAATGTGTAGAACTGTATTCATTCAATATTGTCAGTGATAATTTTACTATAGCAAGTCTAGTTTTGGCCATTGGTAGGTTGTGTTGATCATAAGTCATAACTCATAAGCAATAATTTTTTAAAGCCAATGTCTTATTTTTGTTAGTAATGCGCATGTATTTTATTTTAAAAGAGCTAATTATAAAGATACTATGACTAGAAAGGAAAAAACAAAAGTAAGAAAGTATCCAAATTATATATGTTTTTAAATTTTTATGTGGGTATTTGAAAGGTATGCTAGTTTTTGATTTTACAACTTCAATATAAAGTAGGTAAATATTATATTGAATATTACCTAGGTACCCTAGAAGATGGACAAAAAGAAATATTTTATACTGCTTTAAATAAATTGTGGCATGTGTGTGGCATTTTATCTTATTAATATTGAATTCTTAAATTTACTGTGATTAAAATGTTATGTAGTAAAATAAATTTAGTGTTAATTGCTGTATGTTATAGCTTAGATATTTAGTAAAAGCAAGCTATACCTATAGTAATAATCTATCTCATCTTACAAATACTTCAAAAACTTGAATTATAAATAAATTTAAAATTAAAAGAAATGTTTTTATTTTTGTAAAAATGAAATAAAATATATGTTTTATTTTATAAAAATCATCAACTTAAACGAATAAAATCACTGTAGTAAACAATAGGTACCTATTAATCCAAATTAAAGTTTATCAATAATAATTAACAATTAAAATTTAGATTTTAATTTACCTACATCGTTGCTTGGTGATGAAAGAAATATTCTTTCTAAGTGATAAATTGTATATTATATTAAATAGTAAAGTCATATTTCAATTCTAGTATTGTGTAATATTTTGTAAACAATGTAAACGTAACAGTTTACCTACCTACCTATTTTTACTTATTTATATAAACATTTGTTTTGTAAATATTGAACACTAATATTATTTTAGAAATTTATTCCTAAAGATAAATTTCCGCTGAATACGATGGTTTAATTATAATTTAAATACGATTTTTAGTGTTCTAATTATAATTTTTTAAAGGTAAGAAAGTCGTGTATGTCCCAATCTAATACGGGTTAATTACACTCCGAGCCTAGGGGATTTGAGCGCCACGCAGACTGGTGGAGAAATTAGTGTGCGATGTTTTACGGGACGTTTTTTTCGGTAGAGTTTGACCCCTCCTTATGACCTAATCTCTAGCCTTAATGGATATTAAAATACATTTAAATATTTTATCGCGCCAAATATTGACCAATGGGAAAGCCATTTATTGGCATGAGTAATTTTGACGTGCGGTAGGTCCGGTTTGTATAATCCGGTTAGGTTATGAGTGTTATGACCATAGAACAATAAAACTGTTATGACTGGAGTGCGTTCGCAGTGGTATGTGTATTTGTTTGTTTTCTGTACGAACCATGGTATAATATTATATACCATAATGCTTTTTCAACGGTTTTTCATTTACTTGATAACGTTAAACTGATAACAGTATATCGAATATTTTTTATCGTTTTACAAAACAATGTTAGTGCGTTACACATACAAGATAGTAGATACGACACAGCAACGCACACATACACTCTCATGTTTCACACATTCTACAGTTACACACCATTACTATTACACGTTTCGGTGTTTACTGTTAAATGTTTAAACTTCTTAAAACATAATAACACGTTTTTTTTTCAGTCTACTTAAATACTAAATAGTTAAAATCTTCGTTGTAATTCTCTATCAATTCACATTTTGGCTTTTAATTTTGTTAATTTTTAAATTTAGTTGCGTGGTTTAAAATTACCGTAGCTTATTATGTTTTCGTTTTTGAAGTTTTTAAATTCTAAATCGGATGCTGAAAAGAATAAAGGGCCCAACAGCTTAAATGGTAAAACATTAAACCTTAATAGTCCAAAGGCCAGGGCTCTCAATGTTTTTAATAACAAGTCACCCAATTCAAATGGAAGTAGAACTTCATTAAGGTATGTTAACAATAAAAAAAGTTAAGTAGCTATAAGTAGGTTATGATGATACTGGGAAAATTCAATAAAAAATATTTTATTATTATCAAGTTTGCATATTACTTGTTAATTGTGTACAATTTTCAATTTTATAATTATCACACACTACAAGATCCTTGAAAGTCACACATTTAATTTATTTTGTTAATACCAAGGTTTTTGATGTAAAAATTTAAAAATGGCTCATTAATATTAATTTTTAACAATATTTTAAATTATGTAAGTTATGTTTGTAAGATAGGTAGATATGTACTTACAATTCCACACAGTTACAATATAGACAGGCAAGCCGACAAACAAACTAACATGATTATAATGTAATAAAATACAATTTCAAATATTATAAATACCAAATAGGTATTTAATTTATTTATATCAAATATTTACCATAAATAGATTACACTAATTAAACTAACATAAGATATTCAAATACAGTTAAATAAATATCATGCATTTTTGACATTTTTAGATTAAAGATTACTGGCGTAAGGTTGCCTGGTATCAGGGTGATACATTTCATAAGCTCCTTTAATAATAAGTAAATTGCATACCCTTCTATACTGCACAAGTCTTTGGCAAATTGGTACAAAACAGGGGGGGAGGGAGTACCAAATAATATTATGTTATATTGGGATCAATATAGTTTATTTGTCATGTGTTCTTTTGAGTACCATTAGTAAATGTATGTAATTACAAAGATAATATTCTATTTTTATTTTGTGCCTTATACATTTTTCATAAATAATTATAATGAACATTTTACTTTTAGATCCAATTGTAAAGAAACAGTGACAAGTCCTGGATTTAGTTTTCGTATAGCTCAAAAAGCTCGGGAAATGAGGTCAACAACTCCAAACACAGATGTATCAAATTTATCAACATCCTATACTCTAGAGTAAGTAATGAAACGTAACTTAACATTGTACATATTTACGTGAGATGAACGATAATTTTGGCAGACCCTAGACACCATAAATTGTAAAGCCATATTTTTACTATTATAATTTATTGGTACTGGTTTGTTATAGACCCGCCATCCATATAACAGTAAATACATTGTATAAATATTACATAATGAGTTTATTTATTGATATTAATCTAATAATTCAATGATAGATATATTGATATAATATTTAAAAATTAAAATTGAAAAATAGAGTAATAATACTTTTGAAACAATGATAAATTAAAAAATGCTTATAATGTTAAAAATTATGGTTTCTGTGATTCCCAAAATTCTGCTATATCTTTTTAGATGGTGTTAAACAGATCACTATTGTTTAGTTTTGATCGCCATATAAACATAAGAGTCTAAACAATTTCTGTCAGTACCTACCTCTATGTTTTTTGTTGCCTTATTTGGCCAAACCCCACATTCTTTTGACATTTTGTGTGTGGGCTCCTGAGTTAGGGTCCACAAAATTATACCTATGATTAACTTGATTATGTTGAAATCCATGTTGTATCAAATTAGCATAAGCTTTCCAGCTATCAGAAAAAATTGAAGAACCATGTCTAATATATAGATTAATGATAGGTATCAATGTAACTTCTGAATGTAAACTCATTATTTTATACTTATACGATGTATTTACTGTTATATGAATGACGGGGCTATAACAAACCAATATCAATTTATTTTTTATGCTCCTTAGTCCTTACTTATTGTTGATTTAAATCCATACTATAGAATATTTCGTATTTATATTGTATCCAATGAAAATTAATAATATCCTATAAATATTAGGGTGTCTCAAAATAGAGTAACCTAGCATTATACAAAACTCTAATTTATAATTTTATTTTGTATTGGATATGTAATTAAAATAAGTAGGTTAATTTTATTATTATTTCTTTTTTCTTGTAATTACCTAACTCCTTCTATTATTTTAAATATAATTAATAATTTTATTCTTTCCTAGAAATAGTTTGAATGGTAGCAATACTTTAAATGGCAATAATACACCAAGAGACGTATATGATAAGAAACGGAAATTGATGGAAACGTTAGATAATTTTGGAGTGAGAAAAAGAACTCGGCAAGAGGTAATATATAAGGTAATATTAATTAGTATACTCTATTTATTGTGAATTAAAGCATTAACATTAAAATATATAATGCATTTATATTCAATTCAGAATAACAATGCCCACTTTTACATATGCATTCTGAACTAGGCATTGCCTTGTTTATAGATGATCATTTAAACATCATAATAGTTCTTGCCATGTTGATACTTGACAAATATATTAATAACAAAATTAAAAAACAAACTAAGTAAATATCGGATGATGCTCATCAAGTTTTGATTTGTTGAGGAATGAATGCTTAAACACTAGTGGTGTAGTATTAACTATGTGATATACTAACTACATGTGGCGCTCAGCAGACATCAGCTCAAACACGACCAGTTTTTGCCGGTTGAGTGTGCATTTTTTTCGCAAATAGAGTATGGTTTGGTTTGGTACATTATTTAAATTACATTTTTTCAATTAATTTAATAGTATATTGTACTTGTCCAAATTGAAATGTAGGTAGTGAAAATTAAATTTTATACCTAATTATGCATGTATCAGAATTTGAGTTGATTATACATTTGTCAAAAACATTAAAAAAAGTTATTTCAAATAATATTATTTTTTCTTTTATTGCTAATTAAAAAAAATAATTCTGTCAAAGAAATTTAACCTCATTTTAGTTAGAATACTTTTAAATCACAATAAAAAAATGTTTTGAAACAAATGCACTTTACTGGCACCTAACAATTTTTTTTAACAATTTGTTTATTTATACTTTAAATTATGGTATTAAAGTTGTTTTTTGAATGCTATTATTATGTATTATATACTATTACATGACTGCTGTGAACTGTGCTTAGTGATAATCGCTTGAAATTTTAATTTTGTGACTTGACTTATTTAGGAGGAAAGTTAAAGTAGCCTTCTAAACAATAGCTTACAAAAAATAATTTTTTTATACCATCATTTAAGCTTACGGGGTTATTAAAAAAAAGAAATGACAATTGTGAGTGAGCCAGTAAAGTGCATTTTTGCCAATTGTTTTTTGTTAACTAGATATAATTTAATTTTAAAGAGCGGTGTTGATGCATTTGTTAATCGACGTCGAAGAACTATAAGTGAAACTAGTGCACCTGACCGTGTGATTGTGATGAATGGACATAATCATAGATTCAATCAACCTGCCCCAACAGTAACAAATTCTTCAAGTGTCAATGTAGAAAATAAAAAGTTAGTAATATTCACTGATAAGGAAAATTATAGTAAGTTTATGTCCAAAATAGTAAAATTGCACACAAGAATCAAAAATAAACATCACACAAGTTTTTTTACATTTATTCATTGTTAAGTTAGTTAAATATTTTGGATATTTTTTAAAAAGTGATATATGATTTGTTTTCATTGTTATTTAGTTATTTTATTTACATTAATAAGTCAGAAATTGGTGTAATTTCTGTGCAGTGTAAATAAAATAGTAATAAAATAATTTTAACATAAATATGTTTTTGGGCTGGGTAGGTACAGTTATTTTTATTTTCTAACCGATTTTTTGTAACAATTTGTTTAACACCATAGGAAATAATATAATGTAAAAATTACCTATTTTCTACTAAGTATATTATACACAATTAATGGTTACTATTAACAAGTTCACCGCTGCTGCCGATCACGGGTCGGCGTTGGTGTAGTGTCCTTCATGCCACTGTTGATCTGTGATCTTCACTACTCACTAGTGCATATTAAAAATACACGCGTATAATAATTCGGCCAAAGGGGCTCTGTTTTATTATTTATCACGGCCATTCAGAACATATTAACAGAAAATTCTTTTCAGTCAGTTTTTGTTTCCCGCGGATTTTGTATACATTTATAATCCCGCTTATGTTATCAGTAGATACGCGATGTGTGGCACCAGATTAGAAATATAGGTGTGGCGGTGAACTTGTGAATATGGAAACTATCAAGTGTCATGCTACTTTTTTTATTCAACTATTATCACTACCTATATTTTTATATCTAACTTGTTATTTGTTTTATTAGAACTAAAAGACAAGGAGATTTTGGAACAAATATTTGTCATCCTCAGAAGAAACCTAGGACTCGAAATAATGAAATATTGAGCTCCTATAGTTCAAGCAAGTTTTTATTAACACCTGGTCAAAAACGATCTTATCCATCTGGTAATTTTAGTAATGTTAAATAATCAATTAATAGAAAAGATTTACATCATCAGGGGTATTTTAAAGTGGCTAAAAAGTATTGTTTAAATATCTGTTTTTTCAAATTTATATAAAATACCACATTTATCACTTTGTTCCAACAAGTTCCACATTTATTGATAGAAAATTTTTAGTAATGCTTCAAATTATGTAAGGTCAACTATGTTACCAAATTGATTCTCTGAGTTGTTTACTACAGCTATTAAAAGACATTTATCAAATGTTCTAAATAAAAGACATTTTGATAAGATCTGTTAATACTGAGCGGGGGCTTAAACTGTAATGACTAGTGTATTATTACAATGTTACCCATATAAGTTCTTACTTCTTATAACTAGTTCATATAACTTTCAAATATATTTTAAGAAAATTAAATTAAAAACTTATATTTGTAACTATAATAATATATTTTAATAATTAAATGTTTACCCCCTCTCCACTTTTTTAAGATTCCCACTATACACACACTATAATGATAAAATAAAATATTAATCGTACATTTATTGTTAGTTAATATAACATGTTTCGTGGAGTTATTTACTTATTCTAAGAATTCTAGGGATAAAGCCCCCCCTAACTTTTATGTCTAGTTATGTCTATGTAACCACTTTTTATGTAATCCATAACTATGCTGTAGATCACGAAGAAGAATCACCAGATCGTAAACATTGTAAAAGCTGCACATGCTGTGGTTCTACTGTTTTACTTAATAATGACCGGAATAATTCCAATAAAAGTGACAAAACTACAGAAACTGACATGTCTGATGATCTAGTAACAGTGGCAGCAAGTCGCATTTTTAACAGAAGTGGTAAAACTCAGGTTGTTAAGAAATTATGTATGAAAACTATACTTGATGAAGTATTTGACGACACTGATCCTATACCATATACAAGTATTGAAAAGCTTGAAGAAAAAAAGAAAAAAGCTCAAAAGAAAGGTAACATATTTTATTATTTATAATCGTCCCAAATCCTATTCATCATAATAATGATTTTTGATAATTGTAAAGCATATATATTAAAAATTGATTGGACATTGTGTCTTATCAGTGGTCATCAAATGTTATTAAAATTGAGGCGGTTTAGAATTTAAAAATGAAAAGTTGTATAATTTAAGTAAAATTAAAAATAATATCTAGCATCTTAGACAACCTCAATTTTTTATTAGTCCATGACCATAAAAATATTATAGTAGCATCAATTGTTCATATCCTATCCATGTATTTTATGTTTTAAATATTAACCAGAAATGGAACTTTTCTGTTATTTTATTTCAGACTGATTATGTTGTTAGACCATTGTTAGATATTTAAGATTTTAAAATGATTATACTGAAGCTCAATAGTAGAAAAGTTTAATAAAATCCTAAACATTATACTATAAGTAAATATCTTGTTTTAAATAAAAAAAAACTTCTCATTATTTGCTTATTTTAAAAACTATATTAGTTTTATTGTAGTAAAATAAATAATCACTTATCATTCCGAGTCTAGGACTATATTTCTGAATTAAAATAAAACAATTATAACTGCAGAATTTTCACTGCTGATAATTCAGATATGAGAAACTATTGTTGAAAGTTGCAATTTTTCTGATGCCTCTAATCACTAGGCATCATTAATTTAGTACATTATTATTAAAAATAAATATTTTAAGACTTGAAACTTCCTAGGTATATGTTTTTATTGTGTAAGGTTTAATACAATTTTTAAAATAACCTCTTATTTATCAAAATATTTCTTGTAACTTGAAACATTTAATAATTTAATAACAAAAAAGAGATAATATAATACTAAATATATTAATTTTATTGTTCACAGTTATTTTAATTGAACAGCATATTGATAAGTCTAATGTGAAAAATGGCAACCAGTCAGTTGATTCAGCTGCTTGTGCCCCAACACCTATAGTATCCACATTTAATGAAATACAACCAGCGGTAACTAATACATTGTCGTCCACTGTATCAACTACTTCACCTAGTGCTACATTAAGCACAAAACCTTTAGTTCAGTCTACAACGCCACTAGCATTTGGTCTTCAACCATCAGAGAGTACACCAAAAATAAGTGAAGGAAATAAAAGTAATACTCCATTACAATTTAATTTTGGTAGTCCAATAGCTTCTGCAGTAACACCTGTTGAGAAAAATCATAAACAGACTAATGAAGTAGATGGGAAAGTAATTGATGATCAAACACCAGAATCTACTAATAATAAACTAGAAATTAAGACTCAAAATAGTACTGTAAAAAATCCTAATGAACAAAATGAATATCAGTCTTTAGAAAAAACCAAAAATATTAATGATAATTTTCAAATTGGAGGACAAAATAATTTTAATGATGACAAAGATAAACCATCATTTCAGTTTACTATTCCAGCATCTAAACCAAGTGAATCTGTTTTAAATTCATCCACTGTTAGTGATTTTTCTAAAATAAAGGATAGCAATTTGCATGTACAATTTGATACTGAAAAGTCAACAGATATTTCAAAGAAAGAAGCAGCACCATCATTAGTATTTGGAACTAAAATTGATAACTTTTCAAACCCCAAAAAACCATCGTTTACATTTGGAGTACCCAAGGCTGATGAAAAACAATCCACACCTGTTATGCAATTTGGAGTGTCCAAAATTGATGACAAACAATCAACACCTGTAATGCAATTTGGAGTGCCCAAAATTGATGATAAACAATCAACACCTGTAATGCAATTTGGAACACCCAAAGTTGATGATAAACAATCAACACCTGTAATGCAATTTGGAACACCCAAAGTTGATGTTAAACAATCAACACCTGTAATACAATTTGGAGTACTTAAATCTGATGAAAAACAATCAACACCTGTAATGCAATTTGGTGCAACTAAAGTCAATGATAAACAAACAACACCTGTAATGCAATTTGGAGCACCCAAAGTTGATGTTAAACAATCAACACCTGTAATGCAATTTGGTGCAACTAAAACTGATGCCCTTCAATCAACACCTAAAATGCCATTTGAAGCAACAAAAGGATCAGAAAATTCAACAGCTACTCAATCATTATTCTCATTTGGTAATAATCAAAAATCTGTAGACAATTCAAAACCAACTGATTCTGTGAAATTCCAATTTGGTCCATCAAAGTCTGATAGTACATCTTTAACAGAATCTACAAATGCAGTTTTCGGCTCAAATTCACAAAATAAAAATCTATTTAGTTTTGGTAAGACAGATAATATAACCTTGCCTACCAGCAATCCTCCTAAGTATGATTCTGCCACCGAAAAATCAACACCTAAATTACAATTTGGTGCTTTGCCGACTCCGGTATTTGGAGCGTCTACAGCAGGAGATCAATCAAAGTCTCAATTCAACACTTCTGTCACTCAATCTGCTATCAACCAAGGCCCTAAATTAGTTTTTGGTAGTCAAACAACTGAAAACAAACCAACAGCGTCTGGTATGGTTTTTGCTAATAATACAACAAATCCTATCTTTCAATTTAACAATTCTGGATCAAAACTTGGTGATAAACCTTCAGAGACGCCAAGCGGCTCATTTCCATTCAGTTCTAACAAAACTACACCATCCTTTGGAGCCTCTGCTTCACAAGAATTTAGAGATAAACCAGCATTTCAGTTTAATACACAGAAAACAGAAGAAACAAAAACCCAATTCTCAGCTCCCAGTTTTGGATCTCAAAATACAAATGCTCCCTTCAAATTTGGAGGGAACGAAAAACCTGCTTCTTTTGGAACTACTTTTCCAACTTCCAACCAACCATTACAATTTACAAATAATACTGAAAAAACAGCAGAACCATTCAAATTTGGAAGTTCAGTTCAAACGAGTAATGCATTTCAATTTAGTGCTGATAAAACTGATCCAGTAAAATTTGGCCAAACGTCCAACACATTTGCTACATCAGGATTTAGTGGTTTTGGCAATTCAGCACCTCAACAAACCACCACATTTGGTACTGTTCAACCACCGCAACCATCTCCATTTGGCAACATAGCTTCCCCTACTGCTGCACCTACATTTGGCAATGTAGTATCACCTCCATCTAATACATTTGGAACAAATCAAAGCTTTCAGTTTGGTAGTACAAACAATGTTCCTACAAGCTCATCTACATTTGCCTTTGGCAGTAATTCACAACCTACTAAACCAGATGGGGCTTTTAGTTTTAATGCTACTTCTACAACTGCTTCACCATTCCAATTTGGCCAAGGCCCATCACCATTGTCAACACCACAGTTTGGAGGAACACAACCAAATCAAGGTATTTATTATTTTAATCCTATATATTATTTTCACTGTTAAAATGTTTTTAATATATGTGTATATTATGTATATGATACACACCTATCCTCACAGGAATGCCAACCTCCCGGTTATAAAGGTAAAGTTATGAGCTATGTGTCTGTAAAATTAAGTAGGTACTTCACACACGGATTTGACAAATAATAATATTCATAGTATATTTTTCTTTTCTTTACTCCACTATGCCCATCTTTTCACTTCATAAAGTTATACTTTCTAATTTCTTCAGATCAGACCCCTAGCTGCTTCAGAACGTGTTTGTTACACACTTAACAAAAAAGAGTTGTGCTATAAGTTCTAAACATTATTTATTTTTTATTTAATGACTGTATAACTATCATAGTATGACTGTATAATCACAAGCAACTTGATAAAATTACAATCGTATAATGACTGACATCGGATATATTGTGTCAACTAAATAGATACCGATGATATCATGGGCGGATAGGCCATTTTTGGCCTACCAGGAAAAAAAAGTTGCTCGCAAGTACAGTATTAGATGAATTATATTACCTACAATATCAAAACAAAACATTGGACGTGTATGATTTGTCTGTTATGGCACACACAAATCATACACGTATATTAACATCTAGAAAATTTATAAAATATATTATAACAACATCTATATTCCATTATCAATTGACAATTAAGTACATCTAATTATAAAAGTTTAGTGTTTAAGTTAGGCTTTTACACTTTAAATAATGTTGAAAATTATAAATGTAATAGACACTTAAAGAAACACAATTTGTGTTTTAAAAATATTAGAACATTTATTTGACAACCCCTACTTATTTTATACTGCTGATTGCTATTAAGTGTACAAATTATACCAAGATACCTATAAAATATAGTTTCTTTTAGTTTATATTCTATATGAATACATGATTATATTATAATTTATATGCACCTATGACCTATATTATATATTTAGTGATGGGCCGCAACAAATAAAAACTAACGAATAATTATTCAATACCTAGTTTTTCCAAATAAGTTATTCGAATAATCGTTACGACAAATATTTGAATTATTATTCAAATATATTTTCAAAAGCAAATTCAATCTAGTTAGTAGGTCAAAATTAAAAATCCTCCAGTACTTTTAAAATAATTGGGAAAAAAAAGAAAATTTGTCAAAATTGTTTGGTAACCTTGGTTAAACTGTCTTCACTTGAATTGTATTTGATTAGTTTGAGTTTTTTCCTACAAATGTCAATAAAAAATTATTTGTCCGGTTAAAAAGATAAAAATGTAATAGGTATATACTATATAAGTTTTTATTATAGCTAAAATACTAACGATACATAGGAATGATTATTGTTTATAAGCATTTAAAGTTCAAATGTTGACAAAACCACAGTGTTAATGAATAATTTGTAGTTCAAAACTTAAAAAATATAAGATTATAATATAAAGTAATATAATATTTCAAATTTCAAATTTCTTTTTTAATTATATAATATTAATGTGTCATTGCGTTAACCATAAAAAAGGCCCCTTTCCCAAAATACGAAGGGGGGCCCATCGGGAAATGCCCGGTTGGCCTATCCGCCCATGGATGATAATATATGAACATTAGGATAAGCATATTAATTTCAGACTTCTGTGCGAATAAAAGAATTACAGCAAACATAATATAATTTTGATCTCTAGTGAAGAATACTATTCATATTATATTTTTATATTCTTAACATTTCATCACCTATCTTTGACCTTATAGAGTCTAAACTCTTAAGTTTTACTGATCAGAATGTTATTAATATATCAGTGGGGTTCATTTTGAAATTTGTACCTACTGATCATGTACAATCAATCAAAATAAAATCATTACAAGTCCAAATACAACAAAATAAATTAGTCGATTATAAAACAGTATATTATAAAGGCCTTTTAAAATAAAGTTTGTGATATAATATTTTGAAACCCAGTATTTCATATTTTTTTATTCAAAGGTAAAGTTCAGGTAGTTAAAATTGATAATTGTGTATATTATATTATATATTATGTATTAAAGATGCATTATTTCACTGAATATATTTATTCTTAAATTTATTTTTCAACATGTTTTAGTAAGTTACTAGTAATTAAATACTTATTAAATATTATTGTGCCAATTTGTATAAACATTTTTTAACTCTGCCATATGTAGCTATATTTTAATATTTTAACTAATTTTGTTCTTATAGGATCGTTTGGTTTTGGATCACCTCCAATGACTGCAACTGGTATGTTTTTCAAATGTGATGTTATAAAAATGTAATACATTATTCAACTAATAGTTTTATTTTCTAATTAAAGTTATGCCTGGATCAAGTCAACCGTTATTCTCCATGGGAACAGCTCCTGCCGGTGAAAGACGTAAAGCTAAAGCAGTTAGAAGAAGACAATAATTTAATAATTACAATTAAAATTTTTTGTTAAAATACTCTTAATTTATGAAGTTTAAATATTTTATCTCTACAAATACTAACACACTGTAGTAATATCTTATATGCCTATTTGACTATTGCAAAATTGTTTGCGGTGTAAATGTAATTTATTTTTTGTATTTACATTAAAAAAATCCAAACTCCAATTATTTGTCAACAAAATATTATGTTGCTTCTATGGCTAATTTATTCTTCTGCGGTACTAATTTGTTTTAATTTAATTTTAATATTTATTTGAATTGTTTTGTACGGTTTTTATTGACTTGATTATTTTATAAATATTGTACCTTGAGTAATCAAATATTTATTTTAAAAATTATTAATATCACAGTGTACACATTGTACATTGTATGTAATAATGACAAATAATTTGATTTATTCAACTTTCCCAACTATTTTAATTAAAACATTTTATACTTGTTATTTGAAATGATCGGCTTGAACAGTTTGTATAGATTGTATTTTTGTATGATATCAAACTAACAAAATGAGTAATTGTATTATTGTATTTATAAGTTTTATATCAAAAATTATCTTTCAAAAGATTACCTGTGTTTAGTATTTTTAGTAAAATATTTGTGTAATATAATGTTAATTCTTAAAAAGTTATTGTTATTTTCTGTACATTTTTGAATTAATAAAAAATTAAAATTTTAATTTTTTATAAATATATTTTCATCTATGTTATAATTTCATCTATGATGATAACTGTGAGATGTAATGCTGTAAAATGTATATTGTAAAATTTGTTACGTTTTTTTAACCTACAATTGTTGTTAATAAATTATGTTTTCTTGAAATTCACTGACTCAACTAGAATGGTGGAGATAAGCCTGTGATTTTATATTTTTATTTAATATATTACCCTATCCAAGACCTTATACTTTACGGCAATGAGTAATTGTGAGTGAAGAGTAAAGAAACAAGATATTATACCTTAGCAGTTTGCTTAAATATTTTACTAAGTTATCTTCTTGTCCACTCTAAGTCTAGAGATAAATGTTTCAATTTTACAATGGTGTATGGTTCTTGATTTAGGGCGTATTTAGCGATGAATTTATTGATTTTACGTTGATGTGTGTTTTTTATTTAAATAATTAAAAATTAAATTTTTTTGTGTCGTGTGCAAAATAACTAGTTGAGATAATGCTTTGATTTTCTACTTAAGTATCTTTTCTGAATGGAAAATGAAACTAGTTGGTGCATTTGAGAGATCAACAATTGTTTCGAAAAGTGGCAGGAAAAAACAAAAAAATTAAATTAAGAAAAAACAAGAATTTTTACTCAAAATAGATTTAGGTTTTTGGTGTAAGGGTGAGCGGGGGAGCACCGTACTATTAACATCTGAGTATTCTAGAACTTGGCAATATATTGACTCGTGTTGAACTATTTATAAGCATATTCAATTTTCGATTATAATTAGTTGAGCTTAAATCTACAATAATTTTTATATGCGTATAAGTTCGAATTTCGATAAAAATCCGTAAAAATTAACAAATGATTCTGTTCTTATAAATTTATAAAATGTTCAAATTATTGTGTAGCCAAGGGTTGAAAATATATAACTCACTTGAGCAGTTTATTATGTATTCAAAAGATCGAAAAATATGGTTTTTTTTAAAGTTATCGAAAGTCAAACTTTGGACAAAATTACATATTACAATTTAAAACCAAGAAATTATTTCATGTTCCCTATTTTGTTGTAATTTTTAAAATATTATTCGTATTTATTTGAAACTTTTAGAGTATGGTATATTAATATATTATTAAATATGCATATAATGACATTTTTAAGTGCATTTTTTTCGACAAAAACTAATTTAACCTACTGTAGACTATAGTACTACTGCCCCGATCGACGAACGCAAAGGCGTGACAAAAAAATAGTAAATGTAGCTCGTGAGGGAATTCAATTTCAGCCTATGGCCTGAAGGCGAAATGCGGCCCTCGACTGTATAAAATGCAAATTGATGAAAATACATAAATAATCATACATCGTTATAATCATAAATCATCGTTATAATATAATATTATACGATAGATACCTCTGCGTAAGTAAGTATAGTTGCCAGTTGTTATATCAATAATAATAATAATAATAATGGTGTTTTGAAAAATAAACGCGCCCGAAATTCAGCTGGTGCTGGCCGAATAATAGTACGATAGCGTACTCGCTGGCTACTAATAAACGATGTTGTGTTTTTAATGAAATTGTCGGCAACGACCAGGACGAAATTTGAAATCGGTTCATTTGCAATTCCGACTTCGTTTGCGATGGACCTGCAATTAAAATTGTCGAGTCGCATAATAACGAAACAACCAACCAAATCGGAGCAACCATTACAGACGATTGATTAATAGCAAAATCGGGTATGAATAGCGATGGGAACTAGACTAGGCAGATTTGACAACTTTGACGAGAAACTCACTAGGTATTTGCGATTTTCGGCTTAACTTCACTTCCATTTTATACAACGCAGTACGCGGGCGGCGACAGTCATCATTCAGCTGGACAACGGCGATGAGTCCAAAAGTGGACCAGTTGAGGTGATTCAAACGGCCGGAGGAGTTCCAGTTTGGTTAACCTAACCTAACCTAACCCCGGCCAGGGGAAAAGAGATCGGAAACTGTTGTGGAGACTTGGTCGGCTGGCTGGATCTGGGGGCTACTCCAGCGATACTCGCAACTCCACATTCGGGGACGGCGAAAATCGTCTCTGCCACCCTGAGAGACGTTACAGAAGCCGTATGCGTGTTCTGTTGTTGTTCCCTAAGCTGATAGCCCCCGAGAGAGCCCCTCCCCCCTTCCTCGGCCGTGGGCAGCGGACAAGATGTGGGGTCGAGGCAGGCACGCGATGGTGCACTTTTGACATAGGTACCTACCTACCTCGAGTCTCGAACCCACGTCACCACGCCTTGTCCCCTGCCTTCTACCAGGGGGGGGGGAGTTTCTCGGACGCTTTAAGCTTTGGGCATAAACAACAAGACAATACACGTACGGCTTTTGTAATGCCTTCCACGCGCGGTGGAGACGATTCTCGTCGTCCGAGCGTGTGGAATTGTGCGTATTGCTGGAGTCTCCCGGGTCCAGCCAGCCGACCAAGTCTCCAAAATAGTTTCTGATCGCTGTACCGTGGCCTGTCCAATCCTGGTGCTATTGGTCGTTATAATTATGCAGTGTTGCCCCAAAATATTCCCAAGCTTGATGCAGAAAATAATCTTGGAAAAACGGCGGTTTAAAATAATTTTACAAACAATTTTTTTTTAATTGTAATCATTTATTATTTATACTACTCAAATTATGTAAATTAGGTAAACAAATACATACAAATAATTTTTAAGTTGGATTTCGTAATTAAGTATATAGTATATACATTGTATATAAGTATTTAAAACAATTAATTTTATGCGTACATTTATTTAAAACTAAGAGTGTAACAAAAAAAGAATTAGGGAAATCGGTCCAGCCGTTCACGCGTGATGCCGTGACCAAGGGAAATAGGGATTTATTTTTATATATAGAGAATAGAGATACAATATTATTATGTTTTTTTAATCGACTTTTGATTTGCCTAATTTCTTTAAATAATCACAAGGAAATTGTGTAATTCATGATGCCTACCTTATTCTTATTAATTATATCTATTTTTTTTAGACCCTTACTTTCAGGTTAATCGTTTTTCAAAATACGAATTTATAACAATTTAAGGCATTTAATATAATATAGGAACATAAGATGATCCACTGTACATTATTATTATTTCTCATGTTGAACTTTTTTTTACAGAATTTGAATTAATTCCTAAACTATATTTTCACAGATACCTACATAGAAATGTCGTACGAGTTGTAACTTATAATTTTTAGGTAGGTGTTTAAGTTCTATATTTTGATTGCAGACCTCAGTCTCTGTAGTATGTGTGTAAGTAAAGATTAATTTCGTTTCTGAAATATAGGTTTAGTTTTTTTGTTCTTAATTTTTTTTTAATAGGTTTAGTTTTTTTCTACCATTACAATTATTGTCAACATTTCTTTGTGTTTTCCTTTTAATATTAGTTAAAACATAGAATGTATTTATTTCCAAACCTAGTGAATAAATTCAGCGATTTAAATGCGCAGATTGCGATGGGGTGCATATTTCGTTTATTATTCTACAAGTTTAACACGATAAAATACAATAATAATATATATATATTATATATATTATATTATAATATACGTTATCACCCATCAGTGGCGAAAATATGACAAGGTGATATGGGTGTGGGTGTGGGTGGGTGGGGGGTAAATTTGTTACATTAACACTTTTGGGAACACAAAAATTTTACCTTTATGGACACAAATAATTTGAAAAAAAAAAAAAAAAAATATGAAAAAAAAAAATAAAACTTACCTCACCTAACCCCAACCTAACCCAAGCTAACCAAACCTAAATAATGTGAAAACAATTAATTTGAAAAAAAAATTTTATTTTTTTTATTTTTTTATAATTTTTTTTTTTTATTCAAAAAATAGCGAAGCGGCATTTGACATTTAGATCAGACTAAAGAACCCCTCATTTTTATTATGCCACTGGTCTATATTTTATATTACTATTAATTATTATACTTACAATACTCAATACTTAAACTTGTCGGTTACGGGTCTGTTGCAAATTGCATTGAGCAGAAATGTATAATGATAAGCCCTAGAGACTAGAGTACCTACTTAACTCAGTACCTACATAATATACCTACTAATAAGCACACACTGTAGTACTAATGAAACTATTACTATTACTACTCAAACACAGGTCATGAGTCATGGCTACAATAATAATATTGTTATTTGTTATTGAACAAAGGAAATATGGTGAATAGAAGTGATTTATTTTTTTAAAATTTTTTTTTTTGTAGTGATTTATTATGTCTGCAAAATCCAATCAGCTTTATAGAAGCTGTACATTTATATTGAGAGTGTCTAGATAGTAGACAATATCTAGATATTATCTATGCAATACCAGGTGGTATATACTTGCAGTGAATTGGCTCTACATCTATGGCTATAGTGAACTTATTTGACGGAAAGATAATTTTTAAATTGTTCGTATCGACATAGATTTAATTAGTTTTATTTTCTCGCTTTTCTCGATTTTTTTCACGATTACTGTAAATATTTCAAACTTTATTTGCAAAAGTTATAGCTGTGCAATTTTATGTACAGAACAAAAATATTAAAAAACAACAGCTGTCTAACCGTGAGGTCAAACACATAGTTATTTTACTAGGTCAGTAGTATTTTACTAGTTCTACTTCCGTTTATCCTGTATATTATTTGTTGGTCCATTATAATTCGACAAATAACCATGAAATCCGCTCCACTATTTTTAATTGAGAATATAATCTGAACTAACTATGAAATATTTAAATTCATTATTTTTTTCCTATATTTAAGTCTGGTATGGCTGTAATGATGTGCACATAAGCCATCATATCTTTTTAAAATTTAAAATGTGTAATAAAATAAGTATAATAATTGTTAGTCATCGAGGATAAGAATAAGTTACATATATTTAATAGGATAAAATATAACACACACGCACTCACACAAACGACATTAAATATAAGAAACGAAGCATTTAGTCTCTAGGCCAGACGTGTTATTATTGCCCCTTTTGAATACCTATACGTTTCAGCGCGAGTGTGGCAGGCCGCGTGGATCGTCTATGCAGACAGGCGTAATTATATTAGTTAAATTAAGAGAAAGATTTACATTAATACATGCTAAGATTTTAAATGAAATTTATAAT